CGCTTTTCTCACCCCGGAGGACACAGGCGGCAGGACCGCGGCGCATCTGGGCGGTCCCACCGCCCACGTCCTCCGGGGCGAGAAAAGCCCCGTTCATAAGTACGGATCCAACATAAGTCGGATCCGCGTAACTCGGGGACTACCTGTATTGCATAAGTCTTTCCTTTTAACACATCTCTGATTCCCATTCCCTTAGCTGTACTGAATTTTTAGAAGGAAACTGTGATCAGGTCTCCCTGGTGGTGGGTTGGCCCAGTGGTTAGGACACAGAATTAGCTGGCAGAAAAGGGGTACAGAACCTTGCCACAGGTGCCCCCAGCTTAGGAACTCCGGTCCACTATATTAGTACAGTCCTTAAATTTGGGGCATAGCCCCAAGAGTACAGATTCCATCCTTAGTTAGGGTTTCTATTAGGTTCTCCCCTTTGTCTTGGGGTGGGGTTGGAAGCTTTCTTGCTCCTGTGGCTGGCCAGTGGACGGGCTTTGGCTAGTGGACTGCAGTACCACACTCCTTTCTCTTTCCTTTTATCCACTCTCCAGGCCTGGCATTGGCTACAGATAAAGTGGGGTAGGACTAGCTGGGTCAAAAGGCTTTGTTTAACCCCTGTGATGCCAGGCCCTCCTCTCTTCACTCCCTCACAGAAACATACTCTCCCCCTTCTCCTTTCTGCCAGTGTCTTAAATAATGCTAACGATGATAATAAACCTCCTTTTTGGGGGGGTGAGGAAGGAGAAAGTTGATGGAAATCGAACTCTTGGTGAAGTCTGATCCTGTTTCCCAAAGACAAAATAAGGCAAACACACAAGAGGGAAAAGAACAGCAGAGCTAGAAATGCAGCTTCTGTGTTTGATGCTGACAGCCACTTGTTAGCAGTGTTGGACTATTTTAAAATATTGCTTTTAGCTTCCTCGCTGGTCACAGGCTTCTAGCAGTTGCAAAATACAGTCTTGGCCAACTAACCCAGACTCTTTTTATTAAACAGAAGCAAAAGAAAAGGAATAGGAAAGAAGAAAAAAAGCGTGGAAGGAAAAGGATACAGGGAGGTAGGGTGGGAGCAGGAACCAACGTCTCGCATCCCAAAGGTTAGATCCTGAACACCATGTCCCTTGATCCGTCTCTTTGGCCTGGTCTGGTCACATCATTTCTCAAGATAAGGGTGACAAAGGCCCTGTGCTATCTCAGAGGGTCTCAGAAGGCTGTGATTGGTGCCAGCTATGATGGTGAAGCTCATGTGCTTCTGCCTTCCAACCAGGCACTCTCTTATTTTTAAAACCCCCAAAAGAAGTGATGGGTGAAATGGCCCTTGTCCACCAGTTCGGCCTGATTTCTGCCCCAAGCTGGGTTCATTGGTTTCTATTCAGTGCTCTTGTTCACAGGATTTAACTCAGCACAGTCCTTGAGATAAATCATCCGGCCTCTTTGGACTAATTCTTACTGTCTCCTTGTCATTTCTTTTCCCGTCAATGTTTATTGCTAAAGCTAATGTGACATTCTGTACAATTTTAGCCCCATTCCCATAGTTAGGCTTATGCTTGGGGTAGGTGTGTTAGGCCCTAATTATTACCATAAGCATTCAGTCTTCATTTTGAAGAAGTGAAGAGATGAGGAATCTACCATTTCCATTGGTAGTCTGTTCAAGTGGTTCATCACCTCACTGTTAAAAGTGTGCGCCTTATTTTTAATTTGTGCTTGCCAGGCTTTAACGTCTCATAATTGGTTCCTGCTCTGCCTTTATCCATTAAATTAAAGAGCCTT